TCATTCACGATCTGAGCTAAAATACTTTTGGCTGAATGCCTCAAGATCATAACACTGCACTGATTGTTGTTAAAGAGCTTTTACTCTGCTATAAGAGCAGATCCCTGGTAATAAGTAAGTGTATGACTATTTTGGCTTCTTGCTACATAAATCATACATTAAGACGGCAGTATTAACTAAATAGCACTTTGAATGTAATCTGTCTGCTTCTCAGAAACATGTTAAAGTTAATCACCCAACCATCCGATCTAGTTTCTTTAATCCAGTTCGCTCTCTCTTCACAGTAGGGGCAATACAGTTCTCCAGATACATAAAATGCCATGATAATTGCTGATCACACTTGATTATTGTTGAACAGATCAACAAAGCTTTAGAGGTCGTTATCTTCATTCACGTTGTTAAGCTAGGTCCTAAGATTTTCACTTCAATCATTTCTTTTGTGTAATGATGAGCACTGCCATGACTGAGGTTTTCTTCAGGTTTCTAATCTTTCTAATATCTACCAGTCTGGATTTATTCAAGTTTCCGTGCAACAATATTGTAGCCTACTGTAGCCAACATTTTTGACTTCTTAATCGTTGTGTGAAATTGAATTCACTAAATTATCTTGTTTGATTGGTCTTATAACATTTTTGGGCCAACAAACCCTGTGTTTGCAATGAGATTGTTGGTTTCACTGGTTACCTACATGCAAATTCTGAAATGCATACTATTTTTTTCTTTTTATGAGATACCTGCAATAAAAGCGTCATCATTCTGTATATTGTGAAGGGATTTTACTGAAATGCATGTATTAAAAGCTTATGAAGGTTTCCGGTATCTGTGAAGAAGCAAGTCAAACAGGACATTAATGATAATAGTAGCTTCATTTGCAATAATATGTTTTGTACAGTATAGAATCCTCAGCACGTAATATTTCAATAAGTTCACTTTCAGAATAATATTTTCAGACGAAATGATAACTGCATCCGAATGATGTAAATAATAGCACTAATAAATGTAATAATATGAAACAGTCAGCGGGTGTTGGATTAGCTTTGAATCTAGAATGGAGGATGAGTAGAAAATCAAACGTAAGTTTGGTAGTTATGGTCCCTTCATCTAATACAAGAATCTGCAATTTAAGCTGAGTTATCCAAGAATAATGTATTTTTGCACACCAAAAAATCCATTCCCATTGAACTTGACGTTTTTTTCTTGGTATTGTTGTTAATTCGAGAGCAGACTAGTTGAAAATATTTTAAAAATGTGCGGGAATACATGACACGTTAGAAGACATAGCTAAGTGATTAAAACAAGTTGAAAGTTAACAATTTGACGTGTATGTTCAGTGAAACATTTTGGTAGCTCAAGGTTCAAGCAGGCACCCACGTACATTAGCATTAACAATGAGTGACGCTCCTGAGAGAAATTTTAATTTAATGTTAAAACTTAAGAATTTAATAAGTGTATTTCATAATGAACACAGCATCGCAAATGTCATTAGACTCTAGGGTTCTAAAATCACGAGACATCAGAGTTCAGACTTCATCAGCTACCAAACTTTTATAACAACTTATGGGACAGATATTCAATTTATAAAGAATAAATATCCCAAGAAAAATAATGAACATTTACTTCTCAGTCAGTGAAAACTAAAGAAGCAACCCATAAGGGAAAATATTTTCCCAGCGTATGAAACAATCGTCGAAAGTGGTGCAAACATACTTCTAACAACAACTAGGTCTATTATCGGCTCTAGCAGGCTGGAATTACATCATCACAAAGTATTAGATGGGGATTAGCTGTCTGGATCTAAGTCTAGAGAAACTTTGGGTACTTATAGACGCGTTACGTAATAAAATGCGATAAAACTTCCATTTATAATGAGGGAGGAGCAAATAAAATATAATAAAGTTTGGAACTTTGAGGCTGTAATGTATCAGCTGAAGTCTGTGATAGCAGAAAAATAAGTTATGAAACAGATTTATTCTAATTTTCTAATTTTCTACGCACCTAATGCACATTAATTGTGAAAATATTCTCATTTTGAGCTGCTAGTTGATTTAACAGAATATTTCAAAGATAAATCCATGTGATGAAAATAAAACTCGTTCCCAACAGCCAACTGAACAGATTGGTGCTCAGTTAACTGCTTCACAAAAAGTCACTTTTTAAAATCACAGAAGTATACAGACTGGTAGATACACGCCGATTTGACCCAAGTCAGTTTCCCATTACCAAAGACTTTACAACTAAGCTGTCAAAAATGACTTTTCCTAAGTGGATCACCACATTACTTTCTATGTAATATACGTTCTCAAATTTAATATTAATCAATGAAGTGTTCTTGAGAGTAGTCTGAGATCTTTTTTGGTCATGGCTTACTTTGTTGCTCTTTACAATAATTGTTAGAAGTGCTTTTCAGGATGTTTGACACCTCATTCATGTAGATCTATTCATCTGATTTCTGTTGAAAGTGAGAAATATTGCTTTTTACATTGGCGAAGTAATATCTGGCGTTGAAAAATTGTATAGTTGTCATGAAATGTTGAGTTTTTGTAAACTAATATCTTAGGCTAACCATTTTGTCTAATTCAAAGGAATTAGGATGCAAAACATAATTCCGAGAGATTCTTTTGTTTGAATAATAAAACTGATAGGTGATAAACTGTAAACTTCCAAAACATGATATCAGGATAAATATTCTCGTCAAAAATAAAGAGATTACATACCGTTTTCCCTTCTTATAAGTAGCACTGTATGTTCACTGGACACAAGGAAAAGAAGGATGCCAGATAATAAACTCTTCGGGGATTTGATTTTAATAACTGTACAACTGTCCACATCTCCAAATCAAAGGAAACCATTTGTTTTGGTGACTAGCACTGGAATCCAGGAAGCGCATTTCGTCTCATTTTGAACTCGTCAACTGGAGATGCCTGCATCCCAGTGAATAGTGGCTTTATTTCTCAAAATATACCTCTTCCATTGCGAATCCGTGACGACAGTTATCTACTTCTCTTTCAACTTCCTTGACCTCCAATGGAAACCGGTAGGGATTGTTAACACATTTATTGAAGCTTAGATTCCCATCTCTCACTTATATATCCTCCGTCATATTAAGCTTTATACTCCGTATAGTGAAACCTGATTGTAAGGGTAGCTTTCTTCTTCCCCATGTTTATGACAACGCAGTTTACAGACTAACGGGAAGCTACAAGATAAACCCCAATCTTATGGTTGCAGTTTTTGAGTTTTTACAATAAAATCAATCAGGGATTTGTTTTACAAAATCATTATTGGCAAAAGTAAAACTAGAGAGAATTGACGGTAAAAAAACAAGTTTTAACTACCTTTTGGTTGTGTACTTGTGTATGAAGGAACTATATATCTCATAATTTCAAGGCAAACTAAGGAAAGACTGGTCTACTTGAGTGAGACATTTTACCGCGTTCAACCTAGCAGTCGGCTGTCAACTCATCAAAGGTTATATAATAAATAGGGGGATCCTAGCGTTGTCAGACAACTACTTATTCATGATATTACTAATAAATGCAAACCCTTTTAGTTGGAGAATCATAGTATGGATACAATAAATTAACTTTCAGCACGAAAGGTTGATTTCAGCTGAATGAACGCCAGGCATTACGTAGCGCTGTCGGGTTGCTTTTCTCAGTACAAAGTTAGTCTATCCCGCATTAATATAAACTGTCTTACCAATGGCCAAAGAATGCTTAGTTCAGAAGGTATTTTTTGAGTAGTAAAATAATTTAACGTAGTGGTTACAGTATGAGCCTAATCCCTATTCACGGGGAAGATGTTTTCCGACAGATAACCAACATCAGTACCGCACACCTTACTTTTTAGTCATGCATGTGTGAATAGTTATCCTTCAAACTAAAAAACACTAGAGAAGGTAATTTTATGTTTCTGTACTCCAAATACACGTGAAAACTCAAAAGTTTTTATCGCATAGACCTGGACAAGCACTGTTCTGGTATTTAGTGAAATTAAGCTTGTTTGTCACTATATAAGTGACAAACAAACGTTGTGAAACCTAAGCTCTTGTGTGTAGGGCCCTGTTATCATTTCAAGTCCAAGAATAGTGGTGGTGCAGATACAAAAAAACTATTCTCAGTGAATGACTGAGTACAATCTCTACTATAATAAAAACAATGATTTTTCAGTGGCATGACAGAGGTCCAGTGACCATGAGTTTAGTTTAGAAAATTGTGATTTAAGGAGACAAATTTTCAGCAGTTCACCAGATTGAAGACCCTTCATTGTTCTCACTTTAGCTGAAGTTATTATCATGAACTAAAAAAGTTTCGTTTCCCAGCATTCCTAGAATAATTTTTGTAAACAGTAGTGTTGAAGGAGAACAGTCGAAACAGGTTTTTAATTGCATATTTTTAAGTATTCTGTAAACTGCCTGGAGTAACTAGTCTAAGCCATACTTCAAATATGGAAATGCACCTCAGTACAAGTAAGTGATTTCCTAAACAATCGTTGTTACTTGCGTTCACTCTTGGATCTCCTCTCTTAAAATTGACTTCGCTATGCATAAATTGGTGGTTTGATATATCATGGGCTTTGATATTTTGCTATGGATGTTTCATCACGAATGTCGATGACACTGTCAGCGCTAAAGCCATAAACAAATACATCCATACAAATGAAACTAGATGCAATCACTCGCATCTAGTTTTAGTTATAAGCAGCTCTAGTGATATTCAACAAGTAGTGTAGTAAACGTTTGTGTTTGTTTTATCTATATTTGATTAAAAAAATGGGTCAAACTTTCTCATGCAATGCTCAAAGCAATCTAACGGAATTCATAGTATCCTACGCACTTCATTTCTATGAAAATAAATAGTTATCAAAATATCGTAGAAACAATTTATTTCCAATCACAAAACTTTTCTTTTGATTGGTTAAGTAATTTAGCCAGTCGAATTATGGTAACAATGTGATTTATACAGTAATAATAATTTATTATTTTACAAATTAATATGTAATTTCAATTCAAGGATTTATTAAAACAATAAATTTCTTCTTAAGAACAGTTAAACAATCTCTCCTCCTAGACCGTTGTATTTGTGTGTATGCTGAATGTTGATAGTATTGGACAGTTGACAAACGCTACAAATTGTGTAGATGCTAATAACAGTATCGACTGATTACATCGCACATGACAAGTGTGAACCATCCTTGAAGATACTGTACGTTTTGATGCACTTTTAAAAGAAGAAAACTATGGATATCAACTTGAACGACTTGATCACCTTTTTTAATGTCGTTATAAGATTTCTGATCATACAAATGCTATGGATAGGTAAGTATGTTTGAAAAGATTTCTAGTATGACCTTTAACGACTCAATAAGCTAAACGACGAGGATGTTTGAATCCCAGTTTCACAGTGCTATAACTAAAAAGTGTTGGATGTTATTTGCTTTTGCAATGCTTTGCCAACTCTTTAACTATTTGTATGAATGAAAACTTTGTTAGCGTTAAATTGCATCAAATGAAATCATTCACGAATTTAAGACTTGAATAAACGTCACGCTGTATCGTAAACTGACAGAAGTAGAAAAATATGGACGATTGGATTTTGACCCAGTTTTTCAATGATAACCAGGTCCTCGTGAAACTTGAAGGTCCTGAGTTTGATCCCTGCAGGGGTCTCTGATAGGGATTCCAAGACATGAACAATACATTCATCCAGCTCTTCTAGGTCTGCACTGGTTTTTAAATTGATATTAGTCAGTGATGAACACTAACTTGAAATTATTGAAATCCGTACGAACCTTCAAACCCGAAGTAAGGCTTATTTCCTGGACTGGTCATAAATCGAAACACCGGTTAGAATTTCTTTTGTAATTTATTTCGGCATAAATATGCAAGAAGTTCCCGAAGTTCTATCATAAAGCTCACTCTTATTTCTGATGTATCTTTGATGGTAATTCACTTTTTTTGAAAATAATCCTTTTAAAGTTTAAGTTCCCGGAAATATTCGGTGTGAGTTTGACAATATTCTTTCTTACTTCGTTTTAGAATATCTATGCATTATTCTCATTTCTGTTTTATCTTTGAAATTAGCAGCCTGCATAAACTACTGATAAATGAGATGGTAATTAAGTTGTTGACTTAACTTTTAAATATTGGAGTGAAACACAAGCACTGTCACTGAGTATAATGTCATATTATACAAGTTTATCAAATATTAGGCAAAGTTGTACAGTGTTATTTACTAGATGATATTTGGAGCTCAATAGTTTGTTGACAATTACAGTAAGATTAACAAACATCTAAGACTACGTTTTTCTAGATCTATTATCTAACATTCTTTGATTTCAACGGTAGAGAAGTTTTCTATATATTCGAGATTAGTGTTCAGTTAATTCTACTACATGTGTCAGATGTTGATTCGATAAACACTGACTTAATGATCAGTTGGTTATTTTATTCTTGTCCAATAAACTAGACATATAACGAAATGTGATTTCCCTTCTTGAATTAAAAATATGTATATGTTACACTACTCTAAATAAATACATCATATTTGATTTTCGATTTATCCTGTTTTGTCATAATGGACTCGTTGTCAGTCTTATCAAGATAGGTCTAAATTGAGTTGTTTTGTTCTAATTAGAATTACTAATTCTGCCCGGTAACAGATTCGTTCATTGCTGGTTTGGCGTCTTTGATATTGAATAAATGATGCCGAATATCCATAATTACTTTAAACCTAGTAATCGGAAGCCTCCCACTCCAGTTCGCCTTGTGTTGATATACCTCCATAGCGATAAATCAGCCTGCGTAACTTGTTTAGATCGTATACAAGTCATTCACCTAAGTGTGGATACTGTCAGATAGGGGAGACATCCAGGAAGATAGAATGCTTTGAAGAGTAGAACTAGATTTTGTTAATCATTAAATGAACTGTAGACCTGCTTTTTACAGCTACATCGTCCATAATTACATACCAGCTGCCCAAATGATATGTTTACATGTTATACTAAGTAAAATCTGTAACCGAAATACAGTGCACCAAAATGTTGCATCCCTCAGCATAGTGGCCAAACTACATACTTCGTAGAAAAGCACTATTCAGTGATAAGCACTGAATTCTGGAAACTGCGTTGACTACCCGTTAGCGACAGACTCACGTACATCATCCAACTTTTTAACAAGTCAATCACGACTTGAGTAACTTAGTGGTTAGGTTTGTGACTTTAGCACTAACACAGGTTTAGATCACCGTTTTAGGCGGTTGAGGAATGAACCGAAATGCCAGAATTGCATCTAAGAAGAGCTAGCAAGGTTTTTTGGTTGGCCAGTAGTGCAAATTACCTACCATAGACGAGCTTACTGAAACAACATACAGTGAAGATTAAAGCCAAACCTTCTTTCCCAAAACTGACTGAATTTGCGTTTCGCAGCAGTCAGTGTTCCAGATGCGTGCATTGTGACTTTTCCCTTTCCATTAGGAAAAATGTGTAGATAACTCCACCAACTCCATGAGTGGAAGCATCCTTCGCTATAACTGTTGAAATTTTGGGGTCGTAGTGTGTCAGTAGAAAGTCGTATGGCGGTATAGCCTTTATTTTCCGGAAAGCTGATACATACTCTTAAGTCCACTTCCATGGAAAATTCCTACCGAGAAAGTTATTCAACGGTAACTTAACCGTTTACATAGATAGTGGAAAAGTATTGTTGATAAGTGCTTGAAGGCCCGAAACCCAGTTTCAGAACTCCCTACCAACTAAACTATTATTAGAAACACATAACGACGTAGTGAGTGAGCAATATAAAATTCTGGCTTCAATATGATAACTGCCAATAATACTTCAGTAGTAATTTTGAAAATTTAATTTTTGATTACCTAAATGATAAGGGGAAAATACTACAAGCAAGAAAAATTAGAACGCCCAACACTGTGTACCAGTACAGAGATAACTAGCAGCTAATTCTCAAGAAAATTTGGTCATAAACTTGACGATCTCCTTGTATATCTTAGTTACTAGTAAACATCATTACTGAGTAAATTGATATTTTGAACTACCATTCATAGAGATATGTTGAATTGAGTGCATTTTTCATCACGAATGAACATTAGTTGCGGAATCACTGTAAACCTGGTAGTACTGAACATCTACTTGCCCTAGTTTGGGATTCAGTGAGGCACACCGATGTATTTACAAGGCGTCCAGCCAAAGGCTGTCGGACCTCATAGTACTCGTGTTACTACTGTACCAATGGATTGGAATACCATGGTTTACAAATCCAATTTCTATCGGCTGATGAAATTTCGTGAACATCATGCTTTTAGGAATGTAAAAACATAAACTTCCTTAGGAATGAAGTGAACCGAATGTAATTTTATAATGTGCTGTACAATAATACCAGACTGTTGACTGCATGTACTCTACACAACGCCTGAAAACAGTCTTCGGAAATAAACGATAACGTGCAAGTGAATATTTATTGGTCAAGCCAAGATCAGAAAGACTGCAAGACAAGCCTTCCTGAATCAATCTGAAATAATCAGTGTGGAGCGAGATCTACTCCACTCAACTCCACTCAACTCAACTCAACTCAACTCAACTCAACTCCACTCAACTCAACTCAGCATAAAGCGTGAACAACATCCACATTCTCAACACTCATTCAGTCAAGTAACCCAGTGTTTCTATGTGATGGTTGAGAGACTCGGCGGCACGCCACCAAAAGCATTTCCAACAAACTTCAGACATCAACTTCATCACATCAACAGCTGCCGCCCATCCTCACTCGATACTGACTGACACTGAAGATCAGATAGATGGCGAGAATAATACGAATGAGCAAGGAGGAAGTGACTCTGGCTGGCCGGGTGGCTGGCTGGCTGGCTGGCTGGCTGGCTGGCTGGCTGGCTGGCTGGCTGGCTGGCTGGCTGGCTGGCTGGCTGGCTGGCTGGCTGGCTGGCTGGCTGGCTGGCTGGCTGGCTGGCTGGCTGGCTGGCTGGCTGGCTGGCAACCAACCAACCAACCAACCAACCAACCAACAACCCATCCATCACTCAACAAATATGCAGTCGAGGAAAGTGGAGATGTATCGGACTGGAAATGTACTGAGAAGACGGATTTGGGATATGACGTGTGAGTGCAGGCCGGGCAGTTGAGTGGGAGCCAAGTAGGAGATGACGAGTTGGACTTCCGAGTTGAGGGTGATGTGGGTGAGTAGGTGGTGTGAGGAAGAGCTGGAGGTTTGTGTGCAGTGGTGTAGCCGGTTTGAAATGACTGCAGAGAGAAGAGTGGAATGGCGACGTGCTAACGAAGCTCTGTGTTCCACTGGGAATTCAAGGGACAAATAATATACGTGTATATAGTATACGTTTTCACTGAGTCACCGGTTTGGAATCCAATGGTCCATGTTTCCTATTTCTGTCAATTCATAAAATGTTTTCGAAATTGCTTGTTTGAACATTTGAAGATGCTTAACACATTTATGTAGGAAATTTATATTTCAAAACTGGTCTCATTCTTATATTTAAACACGCATAAGACAATTTAATCGTTATCATCAATAGATAAACAACTAAAGGTAAATGCGAACTTGAAGATAGTAAGTGAATAACTAAATGTATCAAATAACAAATGGTAAAATAATTTAGAATCATAAAATAAAACAAAATTGATCATGATTTAAAATCCTTTACAAAAACTATTTAGAAAAGTGAAGACATTTTTTATAAGTTGGTTAAACTCAGACATGAATTGAGTAACAAGACAAATTTAAATGTACGAGCTTAGTAAAACCATGTGCTTGTCTATAAATAGTCAATTTTTAGGGGATCTAAGTGTCGATTTTAAACAGCGCATATCTACAGATTATTCTATTCTGTTTATCTCAAAATTGTTATAATTTTCTAGTCAAATATTGGTAATAGATTAGAAATAGTTGAGAATTTGTAAAAATAATTTTGTCAGTACCATTTTAATAGAAGATATTCTTGTGCCTTCAGCTACCTTTCATTTTACTAAGTCACTCAGTGATGTCACGAAATATCCTCACTAGATTTCAATGGAATCAAAAATTTATGCTGGATTTGTTTGTTTGAACTAGCGCACGTTGGTGCGAAATTTATTACTCATTAACAAGTATAAGTTAATGCTTACAATCGTATAAAAATAACCGCATAACTGAAAACATTTGCTTTTTATATTTCCTTCAGTTCGTATTCTTTAATTTTAGTAGCAATATGGAAATATATTCTACTCTTATGCCAAAGTTTTACTCTCATATGATTAGACTAAAAATCTCCTATGATTTTTAATGCAATAGTTATCTTC